CAATGAAAAAAAAAATAAAACATATGGATTAATGATGTAGGCATACAGTACATGATAATGCACCTCGTAAATTCATAAAAATACGATTTTTTACTGTTAACTGCAAAAAAAATAGTTTCGTAAATTAAAAATTATATGATCACTACTAAAATGTATAGTTCAAGATCAACTGTGTGGAAGTACCTACTTGAGATTAAAATTTTTTTAAATCCGTTTAGACGCATTTGTTACGGCTACTACATAATATTTTAATTCTGAAATCGAACTACTGAAGATTGCTATTCAAAATTAAGTTTCACATCAACATAAACATAATAGAAGGACAATAAGAATAATGAGAATAATAAGAATAAGAAGAACAAGGAATAGAAGTGCGTTGTAGTGGTTCCCGGGAATATTGCGTGTTTTTGTATAATTTTTGAAGGCTACATATTCCCACAAAACCACGCAACTAACTCTGTGTCGCTTGCCTGTTTGTATTCATGTTTTATTGCAATTCTTAAATTGATTCAATGGTGTTGGGGTTGTACCCGGCACTTTTCAGCCGTAATAACAGCGTTGTATGCGGTAGTTTAGTCCAGTAGAAGTGATTCAGAAAATAAGATTGTGTGACGTTTACGGTTATGTAGAAAATGTAGTAAAAATACATGATTAGTATCTGTAATAAACTTAGTCCTTAATTCTTTTTTACGTTTTTTAGTTTTCCTGTGGATTAACACCTAAGGTGAACATCAGACTACCATATCAATGTCAAATAATCAATTAAAATCTTTAATCACAAGCCTTAAGTGCTAATTTCTGATGATCACAGTGTTTTTAAAGTAGCCTATATACGTTCTGCCCTCAAAAGACTAATATGTATTGTTGATTTTAGATAAAAATAAGTGGCTATTAGTTAACAAAACAGGTTATAAATTCGATTCGTTATAAATTTTGTGTTATCAGTTAAATTAAATAAATGTCATACATATTTAAATATCCGGCACTAGACATTCAACTTAGGTATAAATTCAATACAGGTAGTTAAATGTATTTTTATTTTATAAAACAATTGTTGGTAAGCTACTTCTACTTCTATAATAAGAGTATATGCTACACACGAGGCTCCAGTTTTGGTCATTTTAGGATAGTTATTTCATTCGGTGTTATGATTTAGTTTATGATATACAATTTTAGGATCATAAATTACAAAGATAAAATTACTATTCTGACCCAACTAGGCCAATTTGCGTTAACATTAATACGTACCATTTTAAGGAGTTTTTATTTTATTAAAAGCATTAAATTCAAGCTTCTTAGTAGTTAATTTTGAATAATTACTGTATAAGAAAAACTATATCAGTGCAGTTGTTATCTATTTTATTGTACAGTGATTTAGGGCAGTTTTTTTTATCACTATAGCTATACTAGGTTTTTTTGTCCTATGACGCTTGAATTGTTTTTTTACATTACTTCAGGCTGGACCTAGGAGTTGCAGCAATATCACTTAGATAAAATCCATTGGTGATTCGGCGGGATTTGAACCCAGGACTGAAGTCCCGCGCTCTAACCACTTAACCTCCTTATTGCTATAGTAAGTAGGCATCGGGGACTAACGGATTTAGACCAAAACCACCTGACTTACTCATAGACACATTGAAGAACTTGTCACATTTTGACTTGACGCCAGCTTACCGCAGCGACGTGGACAGGCTCGCAAATACTGAGTGCGTGTTGCCGCGCGGACGACAGACAGTTCTGCGAACGGCTAAGTGACTAGCATTGTCCGTGACGCTATTTTGAAACTCTCCTTTGTTCTTCTGATTCTCTCTGATAAAGCTTTCAGGTAAGCAGTCTATTAGTCACCGACGGGAAATACACTTGACTTTGGAAAGCAGGATTTGCGACTATTTTAGAAACCTTGTTAGTTCTGGTGGGGTTGAAGTTTTAGTCGTCGACTATTATTACAATGAATTTGGGGTGTATTTATTTCTTATTGTGTTTCATAGACGAGATGTAAATTTTCTCTTCATTGATGGTGCAACATATCATATGTGCTCTTTGTTTATGGACTACACAAACTACTCTACAAATGATTGTTGCATACATTTTAAATATATAAATAAATTAGTAAAATAAAATATTGGCTTAATGTTAGGGGAAGTGATGTAGAATGAATATATGAAACGATTTGTAGGAATGTATAATCATGTTTTAACTTCTATACTTTAATTTACAACATTACAAAATAGGCCTAAATACTTTATGACTTAAGAGTTAAACTGAGACTATACAATGAAAATATAGGATAAATAAATTTAACACAATCTATGACAATACACAAATTACGAATTTGTATCTACAAATTTCTTTGAATTAAATCAAGCAAAGAATTTCATTTTCCCAACACAGAACAACATTCTAAATCATTGTAATTGAATTAAGCAGGATATATTATAAAATATCAGTATAAGATAAATAAATAGACATTAAAGTTATCAAACACATTGTAAACGAAGCTAATGAATACGATTGCAGTTAAGTATCAAATAACAAATCAATTCAAATTGAAACGAAAATTACCCATAACGTTGATTATAAACGGGCGAAACGAAACTAATAAACACTCATACCACAGTCATTACCATAAAATAATTGAATTGGCCTCTTGAAAATTCAATTAAGTCCATCGCAGTTGGCGCGATTTTGAACGTTAGCACTGTGGTGAGACTACTGCTAAATGTTCTATTATTAGTGGAAATAAGCTCGAATAAAATAAAGCTTCTCTTTATTAACATCTCAAACTAATTTGCATAATTATTATGAGTTCCGATTATCGTAAATTTTTTAACACAAAGAGCTAATAGAAAAACTCTTTGGGTTTGAAAATATGCATTTAAAGGCTTGTATTTAGTATATACATATATAGCTGAGCGAAATTGTGAAGAAATGTAATTTTTTTGTAAAAACTGGACAAAAATTCCCTTTCTTCTAGTGCTCATAGTAAATGGTTCTGATCAGGGAAGCGGCATATTTCGGTAAGTTACTCCATTCTACACCAACCCTGTATTCACATCCTGCAGAAAATACGAATAGAAAATATGTCACTGGCGAAGTGATAGAATGATATTTTAATCCAGAAAAAACCGTTAATATGTGCCAGTTATTGAAATACAGTATGGGTAATCTATAAAACTTAAATATATTTCCATTTATATTTCGTGTGTAAGAGTTAAATTAAACAAACACATTTATTTTATTTACATTATATGTTTTAAAGGGGCTTTGGATCATTATGTTTTGTTTCCTCACATAGACTTATTAAAGTAAAAACTTCACACACAATGTTAATAACAACCTTTTAATTGTTTAGTTTACATAAATTACGCTGGATATACAGGGTGATTGATATAAGTGTGCCAGCCGTTTTATTCGAAAACTATAAGAGATATCAAAAAAAGTTAAATGGTAAGTGCCTTGGATTTTTTATTTAAAAAATTATAGTAAAGTCAAAAAAATTATTTTAGCCGCCATTTTTCCAATATGGCCGCCAACATTGATTTTTCTTATAGAACACCCTGTATTTTATGATGTAATCTGGTAGAAAAAGTAATTTTGAGACGATTTTATTCTTGTGATTTTTTTCATAAACCTAACCGTTTCAAAGATAATAATGGTTTAAGTTGTGAAATTTTGAATGGTTTTCGAACAAAACAGCTGGCATGCTTGCTTAGGCCTTTATCGAAACTCTTTCTCATGCAGAAATTTCAAAACTTTAACCATTATTATTTTTGAAACGGTTAGGTTTATGAAAAAAATCACAAGAATAAAATCGTCTTAAAATTACTTTTTCTACCAGAATACATCATAAAATACAGGGTGTTCCGTAAGAAAAATCAAAGTTGGCGGCCATATTGGAAAAATGGCGGATAAAATAATTTTTTTGACTTGACTACAATTTTTTAAATAAAAAATCCAAGGCACTTACCATATAACTTTTTTTGATATCTCTTATAGTTTTCGAATAAAACGGCTGGCACACTTATATCAATCACCCTGTATTGTTCTTTGTTTGTTAAAAGTATCTAGAAAGTGCATATCATATATCATCAACATACTTTAAACGAAGGTTTTAACAAAATGAAAGAAGATCATGAACGGGTAAAAAATTTATATGTGTTTAGTAACCGTTGAAAAATATAGCCTACATATAATTATTAGGTGACAAAAGTTAACTAGCTTATCTACGCGACTATATTTTTGGTTGGTCGTTTCTTAGGAAAGGAATTCAACATCAACATCGACATCGATCAATATGTAATATCAATTGATTATTAATAAAACACATTGTCAGCAAAATTGTCGTAAGTAATAGTTTAAAGCACATCACATTTTTAATTTTTGGAAAACTATCATAACTCACATCATCATAACAAATATGTCAAAATGCAAGTTGCACACATAGAACCAACACTGATATAACTTACAAAAGATGTAAAATTATAGGATATAATAATACTCTTAACGTATATTTGTTCATGATAGGTACATAAAGCCATTGTCTAGTTTAATAGTTTAAATTATAAGTTTCGAACATAAGTTCCAAACACAATCCCACATATGAAATACATATCAGCAAGTTATAACACATACCAACTTGACTGAAACATTCAAACCAATACAGTATCCCCATATGAAGGTAATTTATTCATAAAACACAACAAAGGGCCAACGGGACTCAGCGCGTGTTTCTCATACATAACAAATGCGCTAATACCCCGGAGAAATCCAGTGGGATGTAATCATTATTAAATCGGCGGTATTTATTTTGTATCGTGAACGTAACCAGTCGTGCGAAGATTCGGTCGGATTGACCTCCGCCGCGGGCGAAGCCTGGAGCTGGAACGCCGAAACTGTACGACGCGGAGCATTGTTGGGTGGGGCAGTAGGGGAGGTTGTGTGGGGGAGGGGGAAACGTGAGTCCAGTTCGGAACGCGCTATCAGCTGAGCGGAAACCTCCAGTTGCCTGCGTGCGCTAGAGCAAGACAGTTGAGGTTATGTTGCTTTTCCAACCGGCTTTGATACGTATTCGTGTTCGGATTTGACGTATGTATTCCACCCGGTGTGGAGAGTGATGACCTATTTGAATTAGTGGATTTCGTTCGGATAAAAGTGAAGTGATCAAATTTGTAATGAAGCCAACAGGAGCTGCTGTGATCGCTTTGGTTAATTTGTTCTACTTGATCAAAGGTTTGTAATTTAAATTGTGTTTGTTTTAAATACTATGCATATGTAAGTAACAATGTACAGACGATATAGTAGCCTATAGACATTGTACGACATTGTATAGACGATAAACAATTTCTTGTTTTAGCTATGTTAGTACTTTTTTCACATAGATTTTTATAACATAGCTTGTCATGAAACAGTATGATTTACAAGTTATATTGTTATGTAATGGTGATATACTTATATATTGAGTTTCTTGGATTTTTTGGGGATCTTTGTTGATATAGAGGGAATTAAAACACCTGTATCTTGTCGTGTGCCATAATACAGTTTTAAATTTAGTTTAGACAATTTTAATGATACATTGCACAATATCACTCACATATCAACAGAAAGAGCTTAATTTACGAAGGTCATAATATTATATTATGGCCTTCGTAAATTAACGTAGCGTTTCATGGAATTCCGTGTAAAAATTATCATATAAAGAGCTTGTAAACAAATATTTATAATTTTGAACAGCAGTGAATTAGTTAAGCTTATTAATCGTTAGATATTCCGAGTATTTGCAAATTATTTAAATTTGTCAGGATAAAAATACCTAATCATTAGAATTTCATTGAAATGAAATGCTTTATTTCCGTGCATGATACATGTATGGAAAAAGTCAAAAAAACTAAAACTAAGTAAGAGTACTAAAAAATTGAAAAAATTACATGAATCACCACATAAAAAAAAACACACACACACACAACATAAACACACAACACAACATAAAAAAAGGGTTGTTGTTCCTGCAACACTCCATGCATTCATTAAAGATACGTAGCCTAATTATTAATACGCAGTTAACTTATAACTTATGCAATTATATTTTATATTTACTTGCAAACAAACTTAAACAAATAGCATGAAGATCAGCAGCTATAATAGTATTAAATGGCTAATTTTATCCAAGCAATAAGTAGGTACCGTAATTGAATTTTCAATGTTCGTCGTCTTGTACTTTAGCTCCGAAGCAAACTGATATTCATATAGTTATGGGATCGTCACTTTTAATTAACCTACATTAATTAATTGAAAATGAATAAATTAGAAAAAAAACATTTCATAACCTTAGTGTAGTTTTAATCATACTGTTCTAGACAGAAAGTTTATATTATTCATAAAAATGTAAATGTGAAAACTATAAACTCCTTTTAAGCTAATGAACAATAACAAACCATTATAGACAAACCAGTTTACAAATTGAAAAGTAATAGCATTATGCCACTACAAATACAGAAGATTAATTCCTTGTTAAGGAATAGTTATCATTGTTGCTCTAGCATAGTAAGACTCAACCAAATTTATAAAATAGGCCTAGTTTGATAAAAACAATATTATCCTAAACCAACATTTAATCACTTTTAACTATGGTAATCAACTAGGTAACTACCTGATTGAAGTGGAAATCATATTTCTGTGTTAAGCCAATATAACCAAAAAGCTGAGAAAAAAATGTAATCAGTATAACCAATTTGATGGGAATTACCACAAACTACATGCAGTACGTATAAAGCAAAATACTTAGTTGATTTAAAAATTAAAAAGTGATAACGATAAAAAATACGTGTTCTGAGGACCTTAACTAACAAATTATAACAATATAGTACAATGTATCAACGACTTTTGAAAACTATTAAATAAACAACTACTAGGGTAGTGCTCAGATTCGTATAAATTATCTAACTAAATTCTTAAGTTTGGTTATTGTTATCTCTATTGTACGGGTTAGGTTAGGGTATTAACAATCAAGGTACATTAATTTATTATAGACTGTAAAAACACTATCACCAATTTGTAAACATTCAGATAAAGTTTTCCTACAATTTCTTGTATTTACTTAGTTATAATAACTTATATTTTACAATAATTTAATTTACTTACTTGTCACTGGGTTCAAACAACATTAACTTATTGTTTTGATTAAAACATACAACAATTCAAAGGGGTTTAGTAACAAGAAAATATATCATGTGTTTTGTTTATATATTTATAGCTTTCGTTATCTTAGTTAGAGTTAGTTGTTCTAAAAGCTGCTCCATACTAATTTGTCCATAATATCCTAGTATTTGTAAAAACAATCATCAAAAATACTTTCAAAAGTTGTAGCATTCCATATAACAACGTGAAACCCATCAAAGTATGATAAAAGTACGATACCTTAGTTAATCAACATAAACATTATCAACCATACCAATTTAAAGGGTTTGTTTAAACTAATATAAATTGGTGTTCCCAAGTTAGGTATTTATCATAACATTATCCTGATTTATTGTCATTAATTATTATCGTATTCATTAATCCATTGCTTGTGTTACTGCAAAGCACAGTTTTATAAATATGAATTGGTTAAATCCTATAATAGTGTTTCATCGTGTACGAAAAATAAAACAAGTGTATAATGTTTCTTTAAAATATAGACTACAGTTATTTTGGACAAGTTATATACTAGTACCTTTTGAAAATACAAAGAATGTTGAGATTTTGAATTACCTATTTTTTCTATGTTACAGCCTAGTTTAATTGTGTTATCCTACTGCTAACATTATCTCAGTTTGTAAGTAAACAGGGTTTATTCGTTTCCTTATTGACGTTGTTGTGTGGACCAAAGCTGTTTTCACGCCTTTAAATTGTTATTTCAAAGCGATATCATCTTGAGAAAACGTTAAACAATGATGACTTGTTAAATAGTCTTTGAAGATTGTTGTCAATGACCGGTTAAGTTAAGAGTTGATGTTCCTTTTTCTATAGCATTGTTACAATTGTAGGTAACAATTGTTAAGGCTACATGTTAAAATGCTCAGTTTAGATATTAGGTTTAGGTGGAAATGTCATAGTAAAGTGTTGTCGGTAAAACATTGACTTTGTTATTGACCTACGTAAATGTTTCAATTTATGTTTTGTTGGAGAGAAAATCAACTGACATCAAGCACTGCAAATCCCATCGTATTATACGTCAAATTTCTTATATAAATTATAATTATTAATGTTTAACCTTTCGTTCATAAATCTCGTTATTATATTAATTGTTCGATTAAAATAATAAGATGAGTTAGAGGCTACAGTAACGCAGGACTAAAACCAAGGTTGTGATGAGTCTAAGTTCCCAATGCCACTTAATACTTACGAGAAGGCCTATGTTTATATTGTTCCGGCTCACTCCTTTTCCTAATTCCTTACACAAAATCTAGTTGTATTTTATCCTATAACCAGACTTTGGGCCTGTTCAAACAGTAAAGTTCAATTCTGGAACAGACCGTTGGACAAAATTACAAATTTACCAATATTTATTATTTACCAATACATAAAAAAAGACCGAAGAAATTTTAGTTCTTTCAGTTTTTTTTTTTTTGTATTCTAGATTTGTACACCGCAACCATTCAGTCACACAGTCATCACATATAAAAAAAAAATAAGTCATCGTTGGTCAATGGTCCTACGATAGTCTTTTGAGTCTGCTAAGACAGGCAAATTCAAGGTGAGAAATGTCCATCGACCTTTTGAATATTTTCTTAGCATAACGCTTAACTATCACCAATTTTTTTTTTTCGATAAATAAATCCTAATATGTAAGTTTTAGATCCTTTGTCGTCTCTAATTTGTCCACAACGCCCATTCTAAGCGTAGGCCAACTTTCCACCAATCTCGCCGTGGGCTAATGGGTAATGGGTAGTCATGGGTTTGTTGGCCCAATGGGTAATTAAACACAGTAAACAGTCGGCCATGATGGGTCACTGTCGAGTGCATCCACTACTGGCGCGTGACAAGCTTTTTATCGACAAGAATGAAATCTTCAATACTCGCTGCCGTTCCGCTCGAAGTAGTTCGCAGATTTATTTACTTTCAACAGATAAGAGCCGCCCAGCGCAACTATATTTCAGGATTGTATCTAACAGTTGTAGGTGGGAGGATGATTGCAATTATGTAAGTCATGGAAAGTATAGAAATCCTACTTAATTGTAGTTGCCTTTGGTTTAAAATGTTAAAATGTTATACAGGAGCTTTAATTTAAGTTTCATTGAAGGTTCCCCGATTTAATGGCTAAATATTAAGTTTTTTAGGTATGCGCAACCGAATTTTCCATAAATATGGTATTTGGTTTTGATATATGTATATGAGAATAAGAGCAACAATAAATTTCGGCCAATGGATGACGATGAGAATGACAAAATTATTGAGATGTTATAACCTATTATACCTTAGTTCAGGAAACTTCGGCTATTAGATAGTGAATTTGGACTAGTAACGTAGTACTGCATTTAGTTGTCGTGCAAATTGGCTTAGGTTTCTCTTGTCGATGTTAATATTCGAAGTAATTTACCAACACCATCCTATAAGCGAGCTGGTCTAGTGGTTAGAGTGCGGGACTCCGGTTCCTGAGATCCCGGGTTAAAATCCCGCTAAATCACCAATGGATTTTATCTAAGTGATTATGCCGTAACCCCTAGGTCCAGCCTGAAGTAATGTGAACAAAAATTCCGGGCCCGTGCCTATTAAAAAAAAAATCTGAAAAACGTTTCACGATAACTAAATGCAGTAAAACATAGTTCTTTGTTGAAGGAACAATTGAATGTGTAGCTGATTATTGATATTGAGCTGAGCCATATGCCTTTTCGAAATAGAATCATAAACCTTACTGTATTTTAGCAAATGGTATTTTTACATTAATTTAAAACTATTAGGCTACTTGGATATTTTATAGAAATACTAAAGAACCTGTATGAAAAAAACGAAATGATACTTTTACATGCAAATAACATATAACTAATAACATGGTACTTAATAAAAAGACTAAAAAACAATATCACCATGTTTACACTTACCATAAGTTTGCAATAAGCTCTACGTACCGTGAGTTTTCTAATGGATTCCACCAACAAAACATTTATTTGGTTCACATAAGACGTTATATTTCACGAGGAAAGGAAAAATGTCACCATTTCACCTGCGTGCGTGGAGGCGTCTCATGAAAAATG